TCATTCAAATTTATACGAAACACACAAGCTGCATGTGAGAGTGTCGAGTGAGAGGGAAAACACACATGGAAATGGAAAGAGAAGCCAAAAGACGTAGGGGATATCCATATTCACTTGAAGGAATTCGATGGTTTTGGTCTACATTTCGGCCTCCCCCATGTGAAAGGCCTAGCAGCAATCCAACGACAAAATCTTATCAGATGGGGTCTGCTTCTCAGTCAAACAACATGGACCACTGGCAGGCCAGGCGCCTAATCCTATATATCCACATAATTTAGAGCCATCTCCCTATTTCCTTCAAAGGGTAAGAATTTAAGCTAATGATTAATTACATACTTCTAATCTCAATTGTTGAATTGCATTTCAAATGTAATTCAATAATCAAAATTAGAAATATATAACAAATTCTTAAAATAAGATACTTATTAACGATCTAATTATCTTAAATTTGGAGGTCTGAGTCCGAGAGCTCAAATTATTATTTTAGCCAAGCGGTCTTTTAGTTAAGTTATGAGTTTCCATAATTTTAATTTGATTTGACAAGGAGCAATGGACAAAGTTTGTGTCGGTTTGTTATCAAAAGATTGCACCCTCAGAACAGAATTGTGTGTTTGTTTTCATTATTAATCAGTCCAAAGGCAGCGCTTGTAGGCCATCTAAAAGGAAACATTTATTATTTGACACTATTATATTATGGCATAAAAGTCCAGACGACAACAACACTTAAAATGACAAACATGAGATCAGGAGGACCAATCGACCCAACTCAAGTTATATCTTCGTGTGTACTGTTTTTTATATAGCTGCGTTAAACAAGTCTCCGGGCACATTAAGATCACCTACCATGCAATGCGTTCAAATATATCAGTTTTTGGTTCAAATTTTTTATTATACATACGAACGATATTAAAGGAAGGAATTCAAACACATGACCTTAAATGCAAGAATAACTGCTCTTAACCACTTAAACTATAAGTCTCTTACAACTACGATTTTTTTTATAATCATGAAGTGAGAAGTCAAAACTTGTTAAAAGTGAGGAGGGATGAGAAAAGAGAGAAGGGATCTTCCTCCTTTTCCCGTGAATTTGCCTTTCATATCTCAAGAGAGAGACTCAAATTCAAACTCACATGCATGTTCATCTTCAGTTTTCTCTCTTCTGAAGAAACATGCCCCTCACTCATGATTAGGTTCCCGTGCTAATAACGATATCGAATATGTGTTGTAGTGGACGTACGAAGTTGACAAATGAAAAGATCGACTTGCTGATTCTTCTCACCCATATCTATCATGATTCATGAACGCTGGTTTCAGCTTTGAAGGCAAGTATGCAAGGGTTATGGATATACTTCAATATTTTAGTTGAGATAACGTAAGGCTTATGGATGTTTAAATAATATTTTAATTTGCATTTCAGTATCTTTCTCGTAATCAATCATTCAACATAATATTTAATTAATACATTAGATTACTATTCAACGTGTTCATTTTAATGATTATATGTTGTGTTAAGTATGAGGCATGCATCTTTGTTAAGCTAATTGTGCTTATTGGGTGTTTAGTTCTCTCTCTCTCTCTCTCTCTCTCTCTCTCCCTACATGTCTACCACTTTCTACGCAATCAAATGGGGCATAATTAAATAATTAAAGCAATTACATTCCAAAAGTTCGTTGCAGTACTAACTCTACTTTTGCTAACTACTATTTTATGCAAAAGCAGCACAAACAAAAACTGATATATTCCAAACACCATGCTCAGTTGTTGCTTGCTTTAGTATTTTTAATTCATCTTTTTACCATTCAAAATTCCTCGGAGTCTCAAGCTACCTAATCTAACCTCCATAATGCATATCATTTTTCATGACCAATATTACTTACAAGTTTACAACTACTGGCAAATTCAAGAATTTTCATTCCGGAGGTCCACGTGTAGAAGGTTAAAAAAATTTCCTATCCAAAATAGACCCATCAAAATGAAATGATAGGATTCTAATTCATAGTTAATAGATAAAACTATACAAAATACTCATGTTCATTATCAAAGAGAACTGCATCAACTTCAAAAACTAAACACACACTGTAATAAACCAAAAATATCTCTAAGAATGTGATAATAAACCAAAAAAATTTGCGCAATACTCTTTGTCTCCCAAGGCGTCTCGTCTTATTCGACCTAAGAACTGGCATATATTAGTTCAATCCTACTCATTTTAAGGCATTTACGTTATTTTTCAGGTACGTCGTCGTTTTAATTTTTGGCTTTATTTGCATTTCTTTTAGGCTCTAGCTCTCAAACTTTGGACCCTTATGAGTACTGTCTTAGGAGGAGCTTTTTCAAGCAAATATTTCTTAAATACGTAAGAGTTAGGTTATTCGTGTAAAACTCTTTGTAGATTGAACATCTAAGGCTTTTTACCTAGATTGACCTTAGGTCCCTTCATGCATTCATATCATACATAAAAAATTATTTTATGTACAAATATTGGCTAAGTATGAAAAATGATTTTTTGGAATAATCATTTTCTCAAGATAATTTTTGGCGGCCATTATTCCTTACACATCAAATAAGAAATTGATTTTATGGGATTTTAGTATGAAGTATATATTGACTTAGTATGAAGTATATATAGCCTAAATCGTATTTTGCACTAAAATCGATTTTTCATATTTTGATTTAGTGGGAATTTGATTTTCTAGTATTTTTATTTGAATCCAAATGGGGGGTAATTCCTTATTTACATTGTAAACTAAAGTAAATAGAGTAATATAAAAATAAATGAAAGTAAAATGATAAAGACCTGCATGTTGTCCTGGTGTGCTGTGCCATCTGGAGCATTTCATTAAGCAGTTTGTGGGCAATTTGCAGAGATCAACATCTTCTCCTCCAATGGTGAATTCCGAGCTTGCAGAAGTCAATTAACCCCTCTTACCCCTATGTGGATCCGTCCCTGTTTACAACTACATCTAGTTAAAAAGAAGGGTTAATTTGAATATGCTCAATCAATAGTATTAGTACCCAAATATGCCTTTTTTTTCGATCGAAATATAGTACGCGAAAGCAACAGAAGAGGACTGGAAACTGCCAAACCGTTTTGCATCAAAAAACAAAAGAATCACAGAGAGGTCACATGAATTCTAACTTATTTAGCGTCACCATACACATTCCCATAAAATTAGGGCTACCCTTATGATGCATGCCAGTTGCAGTTTAGCATTTTCTCTCTTAGCTTCCTTGATGATCTTTTTCTTTTTCGCAATCTGATTCATTCGAACTTAAATCACGGGGGCTCTTTATTTATCTTTTGCACCAACTTGGGGCTCTTTCAGTTAAAAAGCATAAAATATGCTGTAATTGCGATATGGCTATATTGCAGGTTTTGTATTAGCATATAGAGCTAGCTATTAGGTTTGGTAGGTAAAGATGGATAAAGGGTCGTCTTTCAACGACCCCGTTTTAAGCCCCACAGCCGAATCTCTAGGGTTAGGTCCCAGCTAAATGAAACACACTAAACATCGTGATTAGCATAACATGAGTTTATTCTTTCACAAAGGAGCAAATTAATTAGCAGACCCCATAACTTAAAATTTAAAAATTCAAAGAAAAGATGAACCAAAACCAGGTAGTGGGTCCTAATCAACTAGAGTCTACATCAAGTAAAATTGAAGTCAGAAACAGAAGGCATCTTTTTCGCACCACACCCCAACTTTTTTTTTTTTTTTT